GGAACCGGTTGGAAGATACACCTTGGAGGATCTCCGTCAACAAGTGAGGTATGTTTGCCAACGCCAAGATTTGGTTCCTTCCGACGGATCACACGTGGTCTTCGCCACTAAGAACACAGTCTACGTCGAACTCGGAGGAGTTCGTTTCGGTTTGACCAAGGTTGAGTGATGCACGCCCTCAAGTGACGGGATGCACTCGAACGTTTCGCACATGGGAGAGTATTTTTGCATCAATGCTGATGCTATCGCGCTGTCTGTTTTTTCTATGATGCACGCATGTGCATCAACATGAGTATCGCCGGTAGAAGTTCTACCGTATAACGCATGCGCATCTTATCGACCTCCTGATGATGTACGTGCACTATTAACTAACCTCGTTATTTCTGGTCTATGCTCGATCTACTTAAGCTCTCTCATTGCTTCATATCGTCAGTACGTACTTCCATCTTTCCTCTATGTGTAGTGTTGCCAGTCGGACTCGGGCGAAGCGGGCACGTACCACCGGCCTGATCTGGCCCAAGATTCCCCTTAGTGGGAGTATCAAGAAAGTTGTTGTCAGATCGTCGGGAGGTGGAAGGCAGCGGAGGCGATTGTGTTTTCGAGGAAAATGTGGGCATTCTCCGCACCGCTCTTTGCCCAACCCTTTCCCACGTCTCCCTCAGGTTCCATGTGGGGACCAGACCATAATGCTAAGTGTTTGGAAGGTAAACTGCAGCAGCGGTGGCGAGGATGACGAGGTGGTCGCGTATACTAGACCCATCCTGCTGCCAGAGGGTGGTGGAGGAGAAGGAACTTCGATAGGGGACCGTGTTAGATCTTTTGATGATATCCCAAATCAAAAGAACGCAGAGCCACCCAGATAGTATAGAAGCAAGTATACGATAACCTCGGCAGCTCAGAGAGGTAGAAGAGCCACGAGTAGAGGGACGGGACAAGGATCGCCGAGAGGCGAATGACAGCTTGAGAGACCACAAAACTCAGATACTAATAACTGAGAGAGGAAGCTTTTGCCGTTTCACTGGCAACCGTTTCCTCACAACTCGGGCGAATCTTCCAAGTGTGCAGATATACTGAATGGAAATGCAATAAGTTGAATATACTTGAATATATGGAATGTAGGATAATCAATTATCTTAGTCGTCATCATCCGATTCCACACCGGGAGAGAACCGTCGGCCACGGCAGTGGATTCCTCGAAGGGTGCTGATCGTCCTTGTCGTCACGGGAGAGAGTGTGACTGGTGGATGATAATCTACTTCCAAGTTGAAAGTAGTGGCCCACTTTCCAAAAAATATTGAAAGAATCAACGGAGTTGACACCGTGTCGTTGAAAGGATTCCCGGTTACCGAGCTGGCGGCCAGCCGCTGGCCGAGAAGCAAATCTTATGTTGATGCATGCACGTCAACTCTGGTTCCAGTGATCCTCTAGTTACACTAACTATCTACACTTAACCAGGGGAGTTTTGATAGAGTTAGTCGACTGGGTGGTGTGGAGAGGACCGAAGACTTGCACGGAGAAGAAGACTTGCCGAAGACTTCAACGACTCACGTCTCACACGGGTCTGTTCCGTCACCCAGTCCACTAAAAAAACTGTCAGTTACTAATAACTTTCCTTCAGACTCCTCGGATTATTGGAGCACCTACGAGCGACCGAGCACCTACTTCCTCTGGAGTTGAACCTAGCCTCTGGCGAGACCTTCCATCTCAGAATTCGGATGGTATGTTGTACGAGGTGGTTCCGGCAAAGTGTGTGAAGGAGAGTACTAGTGAGAGGAGGGAGTGTCTGCTGGGGCTCACAGCGAGCGAAGTTATCGTCAAATGGGGACGGAACTCATTGAGGGAGTTATTGTGACGCTTACTTCGGCTATGCACGCGTCGTATCATTTGTAAGTAACCGAGACCTTCAAGACCGGATTTGAAAGTTCTGCTCTCTTCTCGACTTTCCCCCAGCTAGTGGTTATGATTGGATTGCAACTGTGAATGGCTTGGCATTCACTAAATTGAGCGCTCTTCTCTAGCGGAGAGGAGTACGCTGTGGCGGGCTGAGGGTAAGCCTTCCGTGAGGCGTTGTAAAGCTTCTTCGCGTGCCCGTGCTGGACCTATCCTGGTTTGTGATCTCAGAAGTTACGCAGCTTAGGGGACTCTGAGGGTACGGCGCATTGATGGGTCATCAGGTAGATGGTATGATTATCAAATGTGCGGAGAATACGAAGAAACTATATCGAATTGATGATATCTTACGCAACTGGGAAATTGTGAATATCGTCAATTTACTCATATGAGAAGTCGGGTGTTGTGTTGTTAGTTCGCGGTGACTCGTAGTAGGTGACGACAGTCCGGTATGGAGTGTCCATGCGGTTCGGTTTGATAAAAAAATATTCGCGGATGACATCAACTTCAAGGCAGCCGTCTCACTCTTTGCGGCATCTCCTCTATACGGTGTAGAGCCAACAAAGGCACCGACTGAGCTCGAAGGGCATCTGCTTCTTCTGCTGGTATTGGTCTACACAGGAGCTGAGTGGTGGATTCCAGCGAACAGATTGAAGACTGTGCAAATCGCCCTGGAAATGGAGGACCATTTATGGAGCAAGGTCAATGACGACTAAGACCGTTGTGTAGAGTGGAGAGACAGTTGAGCGTCACAAAGAGCGCTAGATTAGTCGAGCACTCGCCGGGACGCTAGAACTTCTCACTCGGAGAGGCCCAGTTGCTGTAAGTCAGCATCTGATGGGATACGTACGAGGCTTCTCCCGCCCACCTGCACCCTCTAGAGGTATAGGGGCCTTTATACCATCGTCAGTTCTGTCATAATGTATTTGGTTTAGACCAAAGCTTGAACTATGACTCACATATGCGACGATGATGTAAAAGGCGCCATCGGGAAAACCAACAGCACAAGAGTGTCAACTCTCAGCTGTGTTTAGTCGCCGCAAGTAGTGCGGGTTATGCTTTTCCCTATGGCAACCACCCAAACCACTATACCTCTACACAATGGGATATCAGGAGGAATTGAAATGATGGAAGCCAAAGTTGGCCGGGGTGGCCAGTGGGCGATTGAGAGCAAGGCCTTGAGGTGATCTGGTACTTTGTACCTCCCAGCCTGGGAGGGTACCAAATAGTCTATCGCTATAGCAGGGACCTGATTCGGGTAGACTATTCGACACCTCACTGTTGTTCCTCTCGTGCTGGAGCTCGATATTTGACAAATGTTCGCTGACCCACTGAACAACTCGAGTTGAAGGCATAGGTAGGCGGAAACAGATAGCATGATAATGGATATCCGAGTTTTGGTCACCAGGCATTGGACTGCCCTGGACGAAAAACGGCGATCGAAGATGGACAACCCCCTGGAGGTTAGTTGTTGCACGTGAAACGAATCATCTACGAGCTCGCAATTGCTGCAGCACAATTCGAAACGATATCGGTAATAAGAACCCCCGATCCTTCGCAATGTCCCAAAATGAGAAATAAAAAATATTTTAATAAGGCCAGCGGGGGATGTCACGCACCCCTACTCGATCGTATCACGGAATATGATCGGTAAGGCAGGAGATAATGATTATCACTTTTTCTGAGAAATACTGTCGCACAGATGAAAAGAAAGAGAGTTGGGTATCTCATGATGGCCCTGTTGAGGTGGACTATGACCGACCTCTCAGCTCGCAAAGCTTCCCTTCGGAAGATGAACTTCTCGTTGTGAGTCGAGCACTGTCAGCATGAAATTCCACCTTTTTCAAAGAGTAAAAATTTTACACCACTTGGGACTGCGCATCTCGATTAGAGGCACTCCTGCGGCAGGAGTCCTGCCTCGACCACGCATGCACTCGGCGCCTAGCGGGGTGCGACCCTCTTGAACTCGATCCTTTTCTTTTGGAAGTTGGTCGTGATAGTGCTTGTAGAGGTTAGTACTGTAAGATCCCACTCTTGGCTAGGATCAGATGGGTAGACCTTGTCAGACTCCATTAGGCCAGTGTTTCTGAGGAAGCGGTCGAGCTCCACACGCCAATGATTTCCGCCGGGCCCAGGCTTCCCGAAGTCGAGATAGTAAGTGAAACCAGTAGCACTTCGTAGAAAGTACGGGCCAAGGGAAATAGAAGCAGGTTTCGGTATATCACCCCTATGATGCGGAGGCTTAGGCACGTAGATGGAGAATGCAACTTCATGATCCATGTTCACATCGTAAGTCATACTGAAGAGAGGTCCCTTGTAGACATACTTACCCGGCGGCAGGGTAGACATCACCCGCATAAACCTGAGCTCTCTCTTCCGGAAGCTCGTGGTGATAGAGTTCTTGCCGTGGTAGGTCAAGGTAACCAAGTCCCCAGGCTGGATCTCCGCCAGAGGGTTGAGGTCTTCGGGCTCAACAAGGTGAGCGTGTGCTAGCAAGAACTTGATTCTGTTGTACCAGTCATCAAAGCCCATAGAATGCTCGTCCTGGAGGATGTACACAGAGCTCGCCTTCTCCGCTAACGGGAACGGCCACGCGACGTAGCAAGCACCGGGACTGAACGTGTAAATCACAGACCGGCTACTCAGTAGCCGCTACTGGGACGCCTTGTTTCGGGTTCGCCACTCAGCGTGAAGGCAAAATCGAGTTTGTGGTCCTCGTACACATAGTAAGTCATAGTGAAGTCTCTGTTCTCGTAGACGTACTTGCCAGCGTCCTGAGCCACCGTGATGACCAGAGCCTGAGCAACTAGTAGCCAGGGCAAGGCGGGGTTTCTCATGAAAAGAGAAGAAAAGTGATCGAGGAAACTCTGGAGGAAAAAATGACCAGCAGCCTGATGCTCTGATCTTCTCAGCGGGAGATTTTGGTCGATTTAGCGCCAATAACTGGCGGCCAATGAGGTTCAAGGAGGCAATTTCACCCGCAGAGAAAGAGACACTCAATGATTTAGCCTAGTTTCAGCTGTACTTGCGCCTTGCGAGCTCGCCGCGTGCGGCACGCGGGAAACTAGCGCCGCTGGCGCCCTGGCGCCGCCCCAGGCTGGCGCCATAAGTCGCAGTGTCGCGGACGTTTCCCTGGAAACGAGTGAGGGTCTTTCGTCGAGCCCGTTGGTCAGTAAACGGATTACAACACGATCACTTAGAAAACTAAAAGAGCATTTAAAGCATGGGTGTTATGCTGCCATGGGACGAGAGACTCGTCGAGAGTAGCCAATCCGTGTTGGCGATAAACTTCATCAGCTGAAATTATGCCCGTGGGATATCACGGTGGGACTCGCCCACTCTCCGTTCACTGATCTCATTGAGCTCAGCGCATACCGGCGTATCGTCGGTGACGGTGCCGACACTATCCGACCGACGAGTAAATGTGGCCAAATATATGTGACGATCGCCTGGACGCGGTCCGGGACAGTGTTCCAGTCCGTATCTCACTCCGTGTTGTCTCCCGTCCGTGCTTATGCGTGCAGGGTGGTATGGGCATCAGCTATTTTCCATTGGCATTTCCATTCCACAAGCTCCCTCCGGCCTTGTGTTTCTCGTGTGAGATAAACCAATGGCTTATCTTGGTTCAAACCTGTGCGAAGTAGAGATGCGGTGGTAGTACCACCGCATCTCTTCGCACCGGGTACGTACCCGCATTGTACGTACACACCGTGGCACGTTGTACGCACAATAGGGCACCTCGTGGCTCAGTGCTCCTCCGGCGCAAGTCATAGACCTAGGGCTGTTTGTCGATAGGGCTAGATGGTAAGGCAAGCGAATGAAAGATCTCTCCAGCTCGGTTACTAATTTTGTTCTCGAGAATCTCTCAAGTTTCAGAATCTTGGTACAAAGCCCACGCGAACACAAATGTCGAGAGCGCAGTGCTCCCGAAGCATTGGCTTTTGAGCATCTCGGTTCAGTCAGCCTGACTGAGTCAGGTGAACCGATGAATGAGATGCCGAGAGGCTGAGTAGAACCTGTGGTGCCGTAGGTTCTGTGGAAGTATTAGCTCAACGGTGGAACTCTCCTCGTGAACCGTAGTACAGAACAAAACTGTGACCGGCGCTCCACGATTGCTCGGGAGCGCCGGTCACACCTCATTGGCAAGAACGAAGGATCACGAACTCCTTCTCAGCGATGAATTACAAGGAACAACGATTCTCGTGATCGGGATTAATGAGACGAACTCCCTATATTCAGGCAGGCGGATTTGATTGGCTTGTGCAAGTCTTGCACTGCAAGATGAGAGTCGATTCGCGAGCTGCATGAATCCGGCTGATTTAGTGCACATAGTCAGCATCGCAAGGAATAACATGCGACTGAACATTACAAGCTCCCTTGTGAACTGTGAAGCTAAAAACTTGGGGGATTTACGTCCGCAATGAGCCGGGTGGATGGAGCCCTGTATTACATGGAAAGCGCATCCAAGCATTCCTCATGGTCCACTGATCGTTAACGTCAGTAATGTGAGTGTTTTACTCGTAATTGGAGTTTGTATCGTTTCGACAGTGTTGAGATATGAAATTACCGCGGAGGGAACGCTATATGGCACGGCCAGTGCAATGATATGCAAGTGCTCATCCACAAGTACGTGATTACACTAAGACGTGCGTAATGCGCACTGTGTATGCTACAATGTGTTCCACGACCACAGGTTCATGGAGATGGCAGCGCACAGAGGATCGCCGACCAACGTACAGAACAGGTAGCATGGACCGGTGATTGACATATTGGGCGAGAACTTACGGGGAAGCTATCCAATGACGGGCGGTAGACAACAGAGACAGTAAGAAACTACGTATGGCCATGAACGGGCCGGAGCAAAGATCAGCGGGGAGAGTAAGTGAAATATGCAGCACAAATAGGCTTTGCCGCAACCACTCGAAAGAAGAGACGAAAAGAGCGGACTGAACGGAGTACGTGACCAGACTGCTTCAGTTTGACCACGAGGCGAGCGAGAGTTGGACTAAAAAAGCGCGCGCACTTTGGTTCGTCTACCACTGGGTATGGGCCATAGAACGAAAAAATGGGCAGCCCGACGGCCGATAGTTAGTTATTAGAGTCGGGGAAACGGGAAGTGGGCAAGCCCGACGGGCTCAGCATTGTCTGATAGAGTTCATGGTCACCGACGATTGTCCCATTGTCACATAAGACCTAACTTAGGTCTTATGTCACAACGAGGTGACGTAAGCTTTCAAATCTTCATCCTATCCTGAATCGGATCCTGCGAATTCCGAAGTTGCGATGATAATGTAACACCATAATATCACTGACGTTACTTCTCATTTTCGGCGAATCTTAGGAGGATTCTATGTGCATCATTCTGTCGGATTGAATTTATCCCCGACAGGTTTGACAGTCCGTTTGCCACGGCTCATAGAAGTATACGCCTTTGTCTGCAACCAACGAAGAGCTGCAGCACAGGGCCTTGCACCGGGCAGAAAAGAATTCATCGAGTATTGAACGCTCCTCCATTGGAACTTCGACGAGTCGTGTTCCGAAGATTCAAGATGCACGACTGTGACGTCGGCGGCTTTACCCTATTCGGACTGGTAGCGAACGTGACTCAACTCGTAAAACGCAAATGATATAGAATACGGGATTTGAAAAAGTCTTAGCTACTGCGCCTAGCAGAGGTCTCAGGTGACATTGCGGAATGACCTCGTGAGCTATGCTGAGTGATAGAAGTCTGTCATGGATACCATGATAATAGTCTTCCTCGTGTATCAGATACACTGTATCTGCCGAAGCAGCGCCCGAGGCATTGGACAGGGAGCCACAAGGCTCAAACATGTCAGCACGTTGTGCCCAGTAAGCGGCGCGCAAGAGCGAGGAAAAGACGGGAGTAAAAATGAACTGGTTACGCACCTCCGATGGAGAGAGCCAGGCGAGCCCTTCCGAGACTCACGAAGATAGTTTTCTCAGTGGCAAAGACCACTTTCGATAGGTCGTCAGCATCCAAACGTATGGTCGGGCAAACATTCCTGACCTGGTGGAGGAATTGGTATAAGGTACCAGCGCCGGCCGGCTCCACAGCATAGTGATCGTATAACAGACCCTTAGTGCGGCGGGAAAGCTTGAAACTTAAACGAGAGGTTCGACGCTCCTTGCACTTAACCCTCATATCTCCATACTCGTCAGAGCGTATTCTGTAACTCACCTCGAGATAGGGAGCCGCTTTCTGCTTGAATACATACTCGCCCGGTGTCAGGCTGCCTCCGACCCTCATGAACGTGATGTCTTCATTCCGGAAGGAGGTTGAGAAAGTGTCACCGCTTGTATAAGTCAGAACGGTCAAGTCCTCAGACTGAATACCACCGTACGGCTCGGAATTATCGTTGTCAATGACGTTGTTCCTCAGCAGTAACCTCTCAATAGACTTATACCAATCATGGGCACTGGCTCTTGGCCCTTCAAAGTCAATGGCGTAGGTGAAACTGTCGGTCTTTGACAAGGGGTATTGCCGGTGGGTGAACTCCTCAGGAGGCTTCCTAATGACACTGAAGCTGAAAGACGTTCGGTCCGGAGACCACCTCCTAGGGGGACTCGGAACCCAGAAAGTAAAAGCAGCTTCATGGTTCTCATCCACGTCGTAGGTTATACGGTAGTACGGTTGGTGTCGACACTCTTGAAACCCTTATGACGACCGCTTGAGAGCTCTCGGCAGAGAGAGAGTGTCCAAAAAGTGGTGCGGTCTAGGAACAGCGGGGCATTCTTGCAGCTATTGTCGGGCCACTCGATTCTTTTGAAGGCCTATAAGTATAAACCAGGCTGCAATGCAACGGTTAATGATACTATTAGTCGTCATTGTGAGGTCAGTGATGGGAATGCTCATCTAATGATCAACTGTCAAAGACCAGATCGGTCTCGCTTGGGGCCTAGTTTCGTAGACGAAAGCGGAACTCTTGGGCAAATAACAATCTGTGTGAGTCGAGGTGCAGCTATGGCTGACTACTGCGAAAAGCTCTATTTCAAAGAGCTTCCGAAAACTAGTTGCAAAAAAAAGTTTGCTGGAGACCATCGCCTCATGATAGCTAACCGAACGGGGGAAACAACTTGATTGCCAAACTTTTCGAGTCCTGAAGATGATGCTGGTCGTGGGCCACGACTCGTGGCACACCGGGCGAGGCTTGTGCGACGGTCGTAGGGTGACGCTCATGCTCATACTTTGTACGTGCACTAATCACAATTGTTAATCTTATTCATCATGTCTGTCAGTGACGAAATAGATCAGGGATTCATCGAAATAGGGAGATCTCGGACGACACTGAACTTTACAAATCCACTTAGAAAGATGAACAACAGTGCATTCGGAACCTTGTCGGTGTCATGTAACGGAATATTGGAATTGATGCGGAAAGAAAGTCTACCTCAAGCCTCTGCCGAATTTGGGAAGAATGAACTTACTGACACTATTAATACCAAGATGTGCGACATTCATCATAAAGCAATGTTGAAATCAGTAACTGCATCTGCACGTGAACATGTGGTTTAGAAAGCATATGAAAACGATGATGAAGATGTGGATAGCGACTTAGAGCAATTTACCGTCGTTCACTCTCAACATTCTGTGTTGTTGACAACAAGAATGCGTCGCTTTAATTACTATTTCTGTCTACTTTTTCATTGGTGTGGTCGCATGCATCTTCAACTTTTGATGCTCGACTAAATAAATTGGTGGATCTATTTTTTTCTCAGCAGCCACCAGTACAACTCGGAATTTCATAAGATGTGTTCGGATACGTCTGGAGGAGCTCACACTGAGAGTAACTATGGATTGACAACGAGGGACGTCCTTCAAAGTTGTCAGCTTCGTTTTACCATTTTCTTGCTGATTGAAGAAGCACAGACTTGAAACAAGACGCACAGTTCCTAAGACATCATAATAATTGAGTACTCGAACCGGCATTCAATGTCGAGCCATTGAAACTATGTAGCTATCGGTGTAAGTACTCTCATGCATGTCATGGATGGTCTTCCCGATTTACCGAGGTTGAGGCGAGGAATCCTTCCTGCACCTCCGAGCATGGCATGTGAGGTTATGTCAGGGACGGTCAGTCATAAAGACATGGATGCGTATGAGATCGCTATTCTTACTGGCACTGTAAATAACCGCATATTCGTATCTTAGGTTCAACCGAGAAAGATACGGAAGAGGTTGGGGTGACGACCTACTTGATATATTGGTTTCTGTCGCACATAATAAAGGAAGTCACAGTGACTGCCTCATAACGGCCAGACAGGTCTGTAAACATGCTAGTGGTGATGGTCAGTAGCGATGCCTTGTCGAAGCTGTTGTAAGCGAAGCACTGACCTTCTCGACAACGGCACTCTTAGTGATTTCGTGCTAGCACCAAAATACAGCGTATACCGAGGGGTAATGGGCTAATGGGTCTTCACCTTGTCGACGAGCTTCCTTGACATGTCTGAAGGAAAATCGATCGACAGCAGGGCGAGCGCTAAATCTTCGGATAAGAGTAGAATCTTGCGCACTTGCTATGTTTTTCAACCGTTTCAACATACACATCATGATTCTTGGCCTTCCATCATCATTGTCCTTAACGTTGCAATTATTAGATAGTTCACTCGCTGAGTGAGCGGGTCTCACGTCTGGGATCGTTTCTTTTTTTAGTGTTTATCTTGGTGAAAGTTGCTTGTTCATTGGTGAGCAGGTAAGACGAGTCGATGCATTTTAGCTTTCCCTGTGCTCGTTGATATCTCTTCGAATTAATCATGGCTGACGAGGAAGTTGCCGCTTTGGTCATCGATAACGGTAGTGGTATGTGCAAGGCTGGATTCGCCGGTGATGATGCTCCTCGTAGCGTCTTCCCCTCGATTGTCGGCCGACCCAAGATGTAAGTCTTCATCTGCTGCTGTTGTTTTTTCCATTGGCTACTGCTCAGGCCCGGTATCATGGTGGGTATGGACCAGAAGGACTCCTATGTTGGTGATGAGGCTCAGTCCAAGCGTGGTATTTTGACCTTGAAGTACCCGATTGAGCATGGTATCGTCACAAACTGGGATGATATGGAGAAAATCTGGCATCACACTTTCTACAACGAACTGCGTGTCTCCCCCGAGGAACACCCAGTAAGTATTTTCTCTTTCGATTTCGCTTCAATTTGGTCGTAGGTTCTACTCACTGAGGCTCCTCTCAATCCTAAGGCTAATCGCGAGCGCATGACTCAGCTCATGTTCGAGACCTTCAACGTGCCAGCTATGTATGTCCAGATTCAGGCCGTGTTGTCTCTGTATGCCTCCGGTAGAACCACCGGTATCGTTATGGACTCCGGTGATGGCGTTAGTCACACTGTTCCCATCTATGAGGGTTACGCCCTTCCTCATGCTATTCAGAGGCTCGATCTTGCTGGCCGCGATTTGACTGAGTTCATGATGAAAATCTTGACGGAGCGCGGGTACACATTCACTACTACGGCTGAGAGAGAGATCGTCCGTGACATCAAGGAGAAGTTGTCCTACGTCGCACTTGACTTCGACACTGAGATGAAGGCCGCTGCTGAGAGTAGTGAGAAGGAGAAAACGTACGAGTTGCCCGATGGCAACATTATTACTGTTGGTAACGAACGCTTCCGCTGTCCAGAAGTACTCTTCCAGCCCACTTTCATTGGTAAGGAGGCCAGCGGCATCCACGACACCACTTTCCAGTCTATCATGAAATGCGACGTGGATATCAGGAAGGATCTGTACGCTAATGTGGTCCTTTCTGGAGGGACTACGATGTTCAATGGTATCGGTGAGAGGATGACTAAGGAGCTCACTGCTCTGGCCCCCTCTACTATGAAGATCAAAGTCGTGGCTCCTCCTGAACGCAAGTACTCTGTCTGGATTGGAGGCTCTATTTTGTCCTCTTTGTCGACCTTCCAGCAGATGTGGATTTCTAAGCAGGAGTATGACGAGTCTGGACCTACTATTGTGCATCGTAAATGCTTCTAAATGCATGTGTCATCAGCAATGGGGTGAAGCACTGCCTTTTCGAGGTGGTGAATCTCTTCGTTGTATTATTACTACTTACTGGTTACCCATGGGCAATAGGCCTACTACTTTTGTGAAGGATGGTGTTGGGGATTGCACGAGTGCTACTGTTGCAAACTATAGAACGATGACAACGCTTCCAGAGTAATTATTTAATATTTTGTTATTGCGTTTTGCAGTGAGGGGAATGCGGATAGGCTTTTTCGGTGAGAAAATGAGGGTCCAAGAATTAAAACTCTTCGGAGTATTCAATTAAGGAGTCTATTCGATAGGACTGTACTTGTAAATTTGATTTTGCTATAGACCTAGGCTATCCATGCACAGGTGGTTCTGTGTTGTGTGACGCCGAAATCGAAATGGTAAAGGCAAGAGAGCTTCCGTCGGAGTAGTCGGGTGTAGATTTTATATGTGATATACCCCTGGACAACAGCGAGAGAATAATCGTCATATTGTAGATCGTGACATGCAGGAATGAGGATTTACGTCGCCAACTCAACATTGGGGAATTTCTGTCGTGCAATTTGCAAGAAATAGCGGAATGGACGAAAAATCGCAGTTGAAGTGAAAGAGTTTAAGTAGTGGTTTAGTGTAGTTCAGAAGCCAGGGGGATGTGAATGATCTTGTCTTGAGAAATCATCAATAAATTGTAACTGGGTTTCGACTAGTTAGTATTTGCTCGAGTGATGAGTTTGAGGCAGCGAAGTACTTGGGCTTGCTAGTTTGCATAACAGCAGTGTGGGAGTATATGTTCGCGTTCCTCACCTGAGCTTGGGAGTTCCCTTCAGGAGCTTATACGCGAATTCGGGTAGAAATGTACAGAGACCGATGGGAATTTCCCCAAAATTTCCTTAGAATTTTCATACTGTCACCAACATTTGTGGTTTACCAAGTGCATACTTCCCCGCACTGAATAGCAGTTCTACCCGGCAGTTTCTGTGCTTCCCTGGGGTGAGGTACTATTGTGTTCGCTTTTTGAGGATGGTGTTGGGTGAGCTCGCTTGAGTTTACAAGTATGGTGGTAGGGAACGGGAAAGTTGGGAAATTACCAACTAAATGTTGTTGAGATGGGGATAGGCTCTTGAAAGTTTACAACTAGTGTGTGTGTGAGTTTGAAGTCCCACGCCGACAACACGGATTAGTTAGAATCGCATCGATGGACATGGGCTCCCAAGGGATCAGTTCTAGCCCTTTGAATGTCTACTTTCATAATGCCAATGAGTTTTGGCTGAACTAGAGTTGATTGAGAATATGTATAATTATGAAGTTTGGTAGTTCTTTGGTAGGGATAGGTGAGCTGAACTAGGGGGCGTTCTGTATGAGGGCAGGTTGAAAATTATTTGCAGTCGTGTTGGTTGCATAAACATTTCTCACAGTACTCCACTGTACTCTTTCCTCCATGCAAAACGACGACACCATATGGACGTGCATTGGACCCGGCAAGGGCTTCTGCAGCTTCAAGGTGAAACGGAAGGATCCTCCACAAGTCTTTTGTACCAACAAGTAGTACCTTCTTCCATTTCAAGTGTTGTTGAGATTGGAGTGGTATGAGCAGATACAACGTTACTGGTGTGTGCAGCAAGGTTACCTGTCCTCTCGCTAACAGCAACTATGCGACTGTTATTGAGGATGAGGGCGTTTGCTATCTTCATATCAAAACGGTTGAGCGCGCGCACAGTCCGAAGAAGCTTTGGGAGAAAATCAAGTTGAGCAAGAACTACGCTGAGGCTCTGCAACAGATTGACAAAGCGTTGGAGTTTTGGCCGAGCCATCAGATCAATCGATGCAAACAGAGGCTTACGCGGCTGAGGCAGACTTTGATTAGAGCGAGGAAGTTGGAGATGCGGGATGAGAAGAAGGAGATGAGTGTAGTGAAGAAGAAGACGGAGAAGAGGGAGAGGAATAGGGAGGCTCATGCATTGAGAGCGGCTAAGGTTGAGGAATCAATTGGTAAGAAGTGGGGAAGGAGTGGTATTCCGGAGTATTACGGTGAATTTCTCGAACACGTGTATTTTCCGACACTGGTTGTTAGGCACAGCGCTGTTGGCGCGGCTACGTAAGGGTACTTATGGTGAGCTGTATAAGAATAAGGAGGTGGAGGAGGAAGAAGAAGAAGAACTTGAGGAAGGACTGGTAGGAACAACTGTTGGGATTTAATCACTACGTGTGCTATTATCGGGTGGTGGAAAGATATGCACATGGTCATCAACCACATGTGTTGGTGATGACAATATGAAAATTCTGGGAGAATTTTCATATGTTTGTATACATCTTTACGCCAAGTCGTGTGTGATTTTCGGTGTGGGAAAATATCCACATGGTCAGCTATTGGGAATTTCTGGTTGGTTTCTATACACCCTTACTCGAACTCGTCTATAAACTTGTATAATTAGCCTTGGAAACTTCTGAGCTCAGCTGAGAAAAGCGAACATATATATATCACTGAGCGGGAGTGTTATGGAATACATTCACCAAAACTCAACATCGTTAAGTGGCCTTAGCCTTGAGTTCGATGAGAGCGTAGCGAACATATTTGTTATTAAGATTGGGTATTGGCTGAGACTTCGATCAGCTTTTTGTAGCAGTAGTAAAGTAGTGGAATTGATCGTTGTTGTGAAAATTAATTATTTTTGTTTTCCCTCTTTTAGGAAGCGGATCACCTGAGTGGCGAATCGGAGGACGAAGAGTAGGAAGCTCTTACTACCGTATTGTACTCACTTTTCTCAGGTATGAGGTGGAGGAAGAGGATGAGCTTGAAGCTATGATGGCCGATGGAAAAAGCAATTTCGTAGCGGCTGGTGATGATGATGATAATGATGATGAGTCGTCGGATGAGGAGGAAGGGGAAGAGGTAGTAGTGTGGTTGGACGGAGTTACTTGTCGTTGTCAGTGGAGTGATACGCGTGTGATTTTATAGAATGATGATTGATCGAAATTGATCTCATACACTCAGTCGGTTTTAATGGAGTTATAGTATCGCGAGATTACTTCAGTTTATGATGTGCAGGATTCGTCGAACGTTTATGCAAAGATTAGAATAGTCGGTTACAGAATCGTGTGATGTTTCGGAGAAGTGGGTTTTGGTACTCTTTGAAACTACTCGAGCTGGTGGAAGTCGGTGATGGGAATGGAATTTTTCGCGTGTCATGATTTTGCCATGCAATATTTCGGGAGAGTTTTGTGACAGAAATTCGGAGTAATTCCGTTTTCTTTGTGTGTTAGATTGACGAGGAAATGGAGGATATCGAAGATCAATCCGATCTTATAGCAGCGCTGGGTGGCTCTAAGGCTGGTGGTGACTCGTCACGGAAAAGTAGGGCGTATGTTTAGTACTTTCATACTTACTATATATCATGTGTAGTGCCACGTGTTGAGGTGGAGTACGAGTATGAAGAGGAAGCTCAGCAGAAGCCACGAATGGTCTCTGTACGGAGCCATAATAAGGGTGGATCGCGATGAAGGGCTAGTTGTGATGATAGCACTGTAATAAAGGGGGTAGCTTTCACGAAATATTCGCTCTCGGGAGGAGGAGTAGTTGGTAGTATCATGTGAGAATATGTAAATCCACGATGATTAGAAAAGAGTACCGTCGGGAGGAGGTAGTGTTTTTGTATAGGAAGTAGTATTTACTGTATAGGAAAAATAGTAACATTTTCAAATTATTTGGTAGTATGTTCCTTGGCGAGTAGTACTTTGTTTAGTATTTACGAACACTGAGTGATACTTCATAGTGTACATGCATCGGAGTGTCACGACCCGTTTTACGTGAAGTGGCGTAAAAGTCGGTGAAAAACGCGATATTCGCGCTACGCAGTAGTCGTAAAATATGTTTTTCACTAGTGTTTTTCATATCACTAGGGTGAAACGAAATTATATAGTTACTATATTATTACTGTATCATAACTTAAATAGTATATAGAAAAATACTATATAGTAATAATATATTATTACTATATAGTTACTACTGTAATAAAATAGTAGGATCCTCAGGGAAGTTTTATATATCCTCGTAAGGTTGAAATTACGGCGCCCGTATCAGCACGAATGAGGAAGCTGTTCTGTGTTTTACTGCTACTCTATATATTACGTATAACTTGTATATTGTATAACACTTCGGAGTTTTACTCGTTTACGTGGAGTGGCGTAAAACTAGGTGAAAAACGCGATATTCGCGTTGATATGCAGTAGTCGTAAAATATGTTTTTCACTAGTGTTTTTCATATCACTAAGGTCGTGAAACTCCGTTATGTATAACGTGTATATGGTCGTGGCTTTATGACACATTTTGCTGAATGTGTTGATGATAAGTTGTAGTGAATTGGTCCTAATTTTGCGATAGTTAATGGTGCGTAATGGGCGCTCTACTTCAGGTTGCAATCATCGCCAAGGAATTGTTACTGTTGTTGGTTATACCACTCCTTCCGCAGTTGTCTGCTCGACACACTGTTACACGTTTCTACTCGATCATCTTAGTGTTGGTTTCTTCAATAAACGTTTTAGAAATTAGTATTTTGGGGGTATAATGGAGGTTCTCGGATGACTAATGGAGGACGTTGACGAGCTGGTGGAGTACTGATAGGTGTTGCGGTTTTTGGAGTATGGACTCGAGCGATGCACGGTTGGAGTTGTGAATACCAACTATTACTGGAAAAATATCTCTTGAATGCGAGCTCGCTGAGCTGAGCTCAGGCCTGCTGACGAACATGACGTTATTCAGTTTTGTTATATGTCTTGTGTTATGCTACATTGCTCTCAAACATACCTTCCCATCAGGATCATGGCGCTTGGATTCATGATGGATCATGGATTGACCATTCCCCACAGAGGAATGTTTAATTCAGGGTGAGAATGAGTGATACTCATTCTCATTAAGTATCGTAAAGATGAATAGTTAATATTTTGTTATGAGGTTCTACCGCACTTCCTCTCTGTTTAGTCCCTTTGGGTAGACTCGAGCGCTAAGACTGACACGATGAATGTGTTGGAGAAGCTCGGTCAATGAGATTTCGGAGGATCTCAAACTACACTAGTAGGTCGATTGAATGTTATATGTCTGGAGAATATTCACTTGTGGATAACTTTTGAAGGTTGAATCGCAGTGTGAGAAAATATGTACATGCTCATCAACTACATGTGTTGATGACGAAATGAAAATTCCGAGGGAAAATTTTCATTGGTTTCTGTACACTTCTACCTGATTCCTGTAGTTAGTGAGCAAACTATCGAGTTCAGCTGAGGGAAGCGTGCATATAGTCGGACTATAATAGTCCAACACTGTTAGATCGATCCATTCAGGAGAGTCCGATAACAAATAATGATTATGATGATGATTACGATGATGATTCCATAATGATGATAATCATGATGAGTTTACTGATGGACCAACAGTGCAGTAGCTAGGCTTACCATCAGTGATGATGAGCCTAGCTATTTTCGTCAATTGTGGTAATATTATTATATATTTTCCTCAGTGGAATCTCGTATCTTATACAGGTTTCCAAGAAATCATGGCTAACGCCTGTTGCTTTTTTGTCGAGTTTCATTTTGCTATGGAATTATCTAAGTTTTATTGTGCTTATTTGACCATAACTTTCCCGCTACCGTGGAAGCTGCATAAATACGAGCCTCGTCCTAGCCACGGATGGATGTTGCGATTGATGGTCTTATCGTCGTCAGCCAATGAGATGATATCTTCTGATCTGCTCTCGACAATTTGGGAATATCTTATTCCTTCTACGCTATCTATTCGTTTTCTCGAGGAAGAGGTTCGAGTTCATCGTCAAGACGCACCGATTTTGGATATTGCTAGCGATGGTGAAGATATATATGTGCTATCTCAACGGTCCGATAAGATCCTGATAGTGACTCCGTGGGGCGTTCACGAAACACCTTCACTCGGTGGGATAATCATCGCAATAACAGCAGCTGAATTGATGGTTGGGCGAATCTTCGCACTGCGTGAAGACGCGGCAATCATAGAGGTGGAGAGTAGTACACAAGCGATTAAGATAATTCATAAAGCATCTCGAATGGGGAGTGTTCAAACGCATTGTCGCCACTTTGCGGTTGTTGAGGGAATGGAAGCTTTGGCTTGTCTGACGTGCAGTGAATCCATTGAAGTTATTGATATTTCTGGTGGAGTTTCATGGAGGTCTACGACTTTGGATTTGCCGAGAAAATCGCAATTTGGTGGTGTTTTTGCGGTAACTGCTGGGCGAAGTGAGAACGAAGTGATTATTTTCACTGCTGAACAACCAATGACAATCCGACGGTACCGGGCGAATGTATTGGATAATACTATAACTAAACTAGGGTATCTTTCGCTCCAATGGAACAGCAAAATAGAATATATTTTTTCGCTCCAGATGGTTACCATCGATGGAAAGCCGATGTTGGTATTGGGAGCTCTCGGGAGAGTTGTTGTGGTTGATGTAAAGGAGGAAAAAATTAGTGCGATTTGGGATAATCATCGGTGTTTCAGCTGGTATCACTTAGTGAAGTATGACGTATCGGGAAAGTTTTTGTTCTTTTCTTGTGTTAATTCGAAATTGCACCATAAAGTGTATAAACAGAAAATTGTCACTAATGTGATTGAGAAAGGGAAGGAGATGAATGAGAGGTCCAAAGCAAAACGCGGGTTCGATCCCTGGTAGGGGCATTTCATTATTGATATTTTTATGTACCATATGTGCAGTACTGATAATCGCTTCAAGGTGGGATTTGGTTATTCAAGTTGGGGGCTAAGTCCGAAGACTTGATCAATTAAGAACGGGCGGATGCATATCAATAAATTAATAAGTGATCTCGAATGAGGACAACCGGGCTAATTACACTCAGCATCACCACCCGTTCGTCGGGGACAGGTGATGGGATGAACAAGCATAGTGCGCCGCTTTCGATTCTGGCCAGTATGACTAATAATCAATGCAGATGAGTATTCTTCAACGTCTATGCCGATTTCCGAAAAGTAGGCGACTCAACCGGAGCGGGAAAAACGCTGTGAGAATAAAACGATATGGTCTTCGGGTGAATAGTATCAAATCAAGAGTCTCAACTCGAACGGCCAGGCCACGGTTGACATGAGATTATCCGCTCGCTCGCACTTCAGCCTGGAGTGATGGTTCCTCTTGAACGGAGTGCACCTGATAGTGAACAGCACGGATAGCTGTACGTGTAGAGCGGCGCATAGAACGAAAGGGCCAACTTCTACTTTGATGACTCGAGGCCTATTCGTCAGGATGAACTCATTTTCTTGCGAGTCCTGTGTGCCGGTCACTTTCTATTGTATTTTCACAATGCGGCTCCTCATTGAAACTTCCTTAACTGAACTCGAAGTAGCAACATATATGTACATCACAACATCGAACATGAATCACAACACACGTTCAAGTGTTACCAACACTCCACCGAGCTTGATACGAATTTTATCATCACCCACACGACATAGTTCCACGTTCGATAGGGTAGCGGCGAAGCCTAAACTGGTCGCTCGGGCTGCCCAGGTGAAGACAGCTTCATCAGTCTTGGTGTACGCGTCAACTTTGTAACAGCCCTTGCCACTCTCCCCGACTTTTTTTAATTTCATCACTCCAGTGGAGCGAGCCGGTTCACTTGTGAATGGTTTCAACTCAAGTTTCACTTCGAGTTGTCCAACGACACTCAAGGTCACACTGACCCTTCGAGGGGAGCGATATTCTCCCATGTACTTGCCCCACAGAGGACCCCTATTCTGGAAAGCTCGCAACAATCTTTGAATAAGCCGTATGGACCTATTCAAACCAAACTCGAGGCTTCCTTCCTGCTTTGATGCTTGATCGTTCCCATCGGCTCTCCTCTTCGATGGTGACGATGATGCTTGGTCGTTCCCATCGGCTCTCCTCTTTGATGGTGACGATAATGATGCTTGGTCGTTCCCATCGGCTCTCCTCTTTGATGATGACGATGATGATGTTCGGTCGTTCCCATCGGCTCTCCTCTTTGATGATGACGATGATGCTTGGTCGTTCCCATCGGCTCTCCTCTTTGATGGTGACGATAATGATGCTTGGTCGTTCCCATCGGCTCTCCTCTTTGATGATGACGATGATGATGTTCGGTCGTTCCCATCGGCTCTCCTCTTCGGTGATGACGATGATGCTTGGTCGTTTCCATCGGCTCTCCTCTTTGATGATGGTACTTCACCGTCTCCATTAGTTCTCCGCTTAGTTGGTGATGCTTGGTAGTTTTCATCCGCTCTACTTTCCCGCGAGAAGGGAGGTTCACTGATTCTCGCAGCGGCAATAGGGGCTGCCCCAACTGGTAGTGGAGCCGTCGGGCGGAGACGATATTCCTGGCCTGCTATACACAGCCACAGAGATCGCCCTCGAACCTCCAGTTGGATCGAAAAGGTCGACACGGGCTTTCTAAAAATAGCCGTCATACTTTTGCAGAAGCCGGCAAACTTTCTGAGGTTACCCTGTAGCTGTCGAAGGACGAAAACACCAGGGCGAGCTTCAAAACCCTCCAGTGCTGGTGACGTAAGGTGAGTTCGACTTTTGCTGACGTTCAGGATTATCTGCTCCCCTTTGGCTTCCATCTCAACAGTACAATTCGAAGGGCCATTCTCAGCAACATACACGGCTGGTTGTAAGTATAGCCTCTTGGTGAGCGTAGAAGTTCCAATAGCAAGGATCTGGGTTATGATAGACGACTTCATCCTCAAGAGACAGGGAAAGCTAGAAATGAGATCAACCTAATTGGTACCTTACTCGCTCGTCTTCTCGAGCGTCGGTGAATTTCCTGTCTCATTTGATGAATTATTGTGGATTAGCACTGAAGCCATGTCTAGGCCGCCACAGAGCAGAGTTTCTAGGGCATGACTTCCGATCGAGTGGGATCTGTGGTGAGGTAGATCATCATATTAACACAGTCTTCATTGGTTGGGAGTGAAGCAATTGCTAGTGTACAATGGCAGCGTGATGAGGCTACCAATCGTCGTTCCTACCTAGCGGGAGTAAAAACTGGAAGTCAAGTATTTACACTCATAAAGCCTTGGTTCATCCCATTAGGTTTTCAGGGAGTTGATCGATCACTATCGCCCAATAGTTATGTGGTGTGGAATCCGTCTGCCCAATCTGTCCCTCCTAGCTATGGCTAGTAGGAGGTGTACTGTTGCTGTTGTATTCCTCCAAATAGTAACGCTCTGGCTAGTGTTATAAGGCAATGTCATCAGGAACTGTGGTGTCGAACAGCGGCCCAACGGGTGATCCGAGTGATAACTAAACCTAGCTTCGAAAGCTGCGAGGCATGGAGGAGATCAGTCATCGAATCTTAGAAAAACAGTTCAATATGAACTACCCCTACTTGAGGAGCTCTTCGCGATCAGGCGCGTTGTTCTGTTCAACAGCATCAAGGCCCGCTCCACCGCATCGTATTAGTCATTTGGGAGTGTTGAGTGAGACTGAGTGTTAGCCAACTAGGCAGCAGAGGGCGGTGATAATACCGAACCTCACAATACGCCGTGCATTGGCTCAACACCACAGTCACATTGCCTAGCACGCAGGCACCATCACACACGGAGAACGCCCCGTTCAGGGGATTCCTGAAAATCCCTGGTTCCCTCCCAGCAGTCGTCATCACCAACACTCTGACTTGTTGCAAGTAGATGACGGCATTAGAGTGGCAAGCTAGTGCTAGTGCACTTATAAGCGAGATATGCGATTACACGGTAAGCACGGTGGTGCTGGAGAGCGGCTGTTTCCTCAGCAAACCGAAGTGACTTTGTGCAATGTGATCGGAAAAAATGGGCTCATCCCTCGAAATTTCTCAGCGTTGAGAAGTCTAAACTTTCTCTCCAGTTGCTTGCACCTTGTCTCGTCCTCGAGATGTTCTTCCAACTACACGTCCTATTGGCGGCTCTCATCTGTAACCTCGCTCGGCCGTCGATCGTCTGATAGTCGCCTTTCCAGGACAGGTTCAAACTAATGATATTCCCCCACCATGTAACAAACGATTTGATGAAGCCAATGGTTACGATCCAGCCGCTATTGTCTGTCGTCCGCTATGTATGGTATTACATCTGAGGCAGGCGAACATATAGTCCAAAACTGTCCGACCACCTGAGGAAAAATGTCAGTCCTGCCGAAAAGCTCCGCAGGGGTATCAGTTGGTTGATGTCTTCCGAATCCCTACAGAGTGCACAAGTTGTGTAGCACTAAAATGGAGTCTTGATATTAGCTTGAGGTTTGCTGATGATCTTATGAGTATAATTGTGGAAAGAATCTCTAGACTTCATTTTCTGACTTCTGTAAAAGATAACACTATTACTGTTACCCTTAGCCAGTCTTAGTATGGGTTTCTTAGCCCCAGCGTGCCGCCAGCCATGTTATTTTGCTCGCGCTTATGTGTCGAAGTGAACTGAGATCTCTGGAATGCATCGCACAGATTCATAATTGTCATCAGTAACGAGACTCAATCGATACTTGATTTCCCTAGGAGTGTTCGGTGAGGAAAAGTATGTTCGGTTTCCTCAGCCGAGCTCAGAAGCTTTCTTGCTACTCTATGGGAGTTTACTTATGACTCAGGGTTGAAGTGTACAGAAACCAACACAAATTTCCTCAATTGTCATCAACACTAATAGTGATTGATCATATACATAGTTTTCCTACACTGCTGCCAGTAGTCAGAAGTATGATCACTGAACATCATTTTTTCCTTGGTGACTTAGACACGTTGTTTTCCAGACACTTGAAAAACAAAGAGAACCCCGTCTCGCATATTGCAGACTTCGAATGAACGACATGAAGCGCCACATTTTGGAGGTCACAATGCTTTTTCATATTTTGTGTGATGATTACGCTAGTCGTTGAATATACCCCAGCTGATGCACACAATGTGCGCTACTTCGTCCTACAAAAAATGTGGTGTGTTTTTGTTGAGCGCTTTTGATCTAATTTTCTCTCGCAGTTCCTCTTATTTTATTAAAACCCAAGGATGTTATTCTTCTTGAGTTGGTTCTTGCTCGCCCTCATTTCGTCCTTCGTTTTGGCCGACGTCAACGATGCCGTCGATCGTCTGATAGCCGCCCTTCCAGGACAGGTCCAAACTAATGATATTCCCCCACCATATAACACCCGATTTGATGAAGCCAATGGTTACGATCCAGCCGCTATGGTTTACGTGTCTTCAGCTGAGGATATTATTATTGCCTTGAAGATATGTTACGAGGAAGATACTCCTGTAGCTCTGAGGAGTAATGGTGGCCACTCTTATATCGGACAATCTACAGTCAACGGAGGGGTCATCATCAACTTCTCAGAATTGAAGAGTTTCGATGTTACTTATAATGATGATGGTCGGTACGTCGCTAAGATGGGCTCTGGTTTGATGTTGTTGGAAGTGTACTCGAGGCTTGCTCGTCATGATCCCCCACTAGGGTTGGCTGCAGGCTCTGGTTCTTCCGTTGGTTTAGCTGGTTTAACCTCTGGTGGTGGCCATGGTCTGTCTTCCGCTATGTATGGTGTCACATCTGATAGAATTGTTGCTGCTGAGGTTGTGGTCTACAATCGTGAGAATGGTCAGTTTGAATTGGTTACTGCTACCGGTTACAATGAGTATTCTGATCTTCTCTTTGCTGTCCGTGGTGGTATGGGTGGTAACTATGGTGCATTAGTTTCACTAAGTTATGACGCCTTTCCTGTCACTAACGTGGTTATTATTTCCGGTAAGAACTTCGATTCGAATCCTTCCTTACAAGCTCAGAGGATTAAAGCCTTTCAAGAATTTATGCACTCCGATGCTGCCGGTCCTGAGATGTTCGGAATCGGTAAATTCTTAGGCGGTGGTGGGATTCAGTACAGCGCTCAGTGCATCTGTGATGATGTTACTGGTGATTGTACGGCCTGTCATGGTAAATTGGATGCGATGCAAGCTGCCGTCGGCCTGGCTAATCCTCTACGTGTCGAGCAAGACTTTGGAAAGGCCATGTGGTACTGGGCTGATTGCACTTCCGATTCTTGGATGGACTTCTACCCTTCTGATGGTGTAGCTAACTGCAGTGAGGAGGATCTCCAAGATGCTATGGAAAAGTGTTGGTCATTTGATAGAGATGTTTACGGTGGCCCCTATAAGGCGAAGTCCATCTACTTCCCCAAGGATATGAGCATTGAAACTTTGGAGTATCTCGCTGAAGCCTCGGTCGACCCAGTGTGTCAAAATCCTGGTGATTGTGTGATGCTCTTAGACTTCTACGGTCATGTCATGTCAGAAGAGCCCGAGGACTGTGACCCAAGTGATGGCAAGTGTACCTCTTTCGATCACCGAACGCCCGGGTGGCACCTGCAAATGTTGGATATTTGGGATAAGGATGAGCCAACTCCCACTGACAAACTTGCATGGATTCAGCAGAC